CATGGGCTGCCAAAAGAACCAATAGATCTGTTTTGGATGAAGTGCAGCCAGAGAGCTCTTTAGAGGCAAAGATGGCCAAACTTTGTCTCTCATACTTTGGACATATTGTCAGGAAGGAATGAACAGTCGCTGGAGAAGGATATCATGTTTGGTAAGAAGGAGGGTCAGAGAAGAAAAGGAAGACCCCAAACGGAATAGATTGGCCAGGTGGCATCATTGATGGCATCAAGTGTGGCAACAGTAGTGACGTTGGCCCAGGATAGGACATTGTTTCGTTCTGCTGTGCATGGGGTCTCTATGAGTTGGTTCCGACTTGATGGCACCTGACAACAACAGCAGAGTTAAGGTCCTATTTTGACTCACGTGAACTTGCATATGAGCAGCTTATTGTCTGTTTTACAGTGAGGTTCTTGCTTTACTATGGTGATATTGAGCTTTTGAACTCCTGGTGTGGAGTTCAGTTCTGTAGGATAAGCACTGAACAACAAACCACAAGTTCAGAAGTTCAAACCTACCAGCTGTTTGCTCCTTGGATATCCAATACATGGTCCATACAAGTCAAATAAGGCTCTAAGTCACTTAAAAACAACAAATGAACTTCTAAACTGTCTCTTACCACAGATGTAATCAATTTGATTCTTGTGTGTTCCTTCTGATGAAATCCATGCACATCGTTATTGTTGTCAGGTGCCATGCACATAATCTCCTTTTATATTGTTTAAAAAAGATATTTTCAATGAATAAGCCATTGGTCTTACAGAATTCTACCATGGATCTTCAACATCATTTCTATCACCAAGGTCATATTTTTCAAATACTGATCCTTCATCTTTATTGCAAAATATGACCTTAAATATATTTTACCCTCCCCTTGAATTTAGAGATCATCTCAATAGCAGATTGGATGAATTAGATGCTTATAACCTAAGACCAGAAGAGTTGTGGGATGACATAAAGAAAACCTTAAGGAAAGAAAGGAAAAGTTTATTAGGATTTTAAAAAAAGGGAAAAAACTAAACAAAATGAATGTCAGAAGAGGCCCTGAAACTTGCTCTCCTGTATAGAGATGCTAAAGCAAGTAGAAGAAATTAGGAGGTAAACGAGCTGAACAGAAAATTTCAAAGGAGAGCTCAAGAAGACAAAGTCAAATATAATGAAATGTACAAAGACCTGAAGTTAGAAAACCAAAACAGAAAAACACACTCAGCATTTCTCAAGCTAACTGAAATGAAGAAAATATTCAAGCTTCAACTTGAAATATTGAAAGAGTCCTGGAGTGACCCTGTGGGATAATGCACTGACCACAGTCAGTTTGAACTACACTGTTGGCAATTCAAATTCACCAGTTGGTTAGACAGAACAGACCAGATGGCACTTAAAGAAAACAATGGGCAAAATATTGAGTGATGCAGAAAGCATCAAAAGACTACTGAAGGAATATGCAGAGTCACTGTACCAAAATTAATGGTCCATGTTCAACCATTTAAAGAGATAGCATATGATCAAGAGCCAGTGATACTGACGGAAGAAATCCAAGTTACGCTGAAAGCTTTGGCAAAGAACTAAGCTCTGGGAATTGATGGAATACAGAATTGAAATCTTTTAACAAATTGAGGTAGTACTTGAGGCAGTCACTCATATATTCCAAGAAATTTGGATGACAGATACCTGGTCAACTTATTGAAAAAGATCAGTATTTTTGCCCATTCCAAAGAGAGGTGACCTAATGGAATGCAGCTATTGTCAGACAGTATCATTAACATTGCATGCAAGAAAATTTTGTTGATGATAATTCAAAAAATGGCTGTAATGGTACATTGATAAAGAACTTCCAAAGGTTCAGGTTGAACTCAGATAGTGGTGTGAAATGGTGGATATCATTGCTGATGTCAGATGGATCTTGGATGCAAGCAGAGAATATAAGAAAGATGATACCTGTGCTTTATTGTCTACCCAAAGGCTTTTGATTGTGTGAATGGACAACATTGCAGAGAATGAGTATTCCAGAACACTTAATTGTGTTTATAAGGAACATGAATATAGACCAAGAGGCAGTCATTCAAACAGAACAAGGGCCACTGAATTGTGTGAAATCATGATAGGTATACACCAGGGTTGTATTCTTTCACCATACATATTCAATCTGAGTCCTGAGCAAATAATCTGAGAATCTAGATTATATGAAGAAGAATGTTGCATCAGGATTGAAGGAAAACTCATTAACAACTTATAATATGCAGATGATATAAGTATGCTTGCTAAAAATGAAGAGGACTTAAAATACTGATAAAGATCAAAGACCACAGTCTTTGGTATGGGTTGCAGCTCAATATAAAGAAAACAAATTCCTCATAACTGGATAAATAAATCACATCAAGATAAATGGAAAAAAGGCTGAAGTTGTCAAAGACTTCATTTTGGTCAAATTAACAAACAATACTTGTGACAATAACAGTTAAGAAATCAAATGACATATTGCATTGGGCAAATCTACAGCACAAGGTCTGTTTAAAGAGTTCAAGAGCAAAGATGTCAGTTCAAGGACAAAATTGTGTCCAATACGTGGTATTTTCAGTAGCCTCATGTGCATGTGAAAGTTGGTGGTGAAAAAGGAAGATGGCAGAATAATTGATGCCTTTGAGTTAATGTGTTCTAGGAGAATATTAAAAGTATCTTTAACTGCCAGAAGAAGAAATAATTCTATAATCGAAGAAGTACAGCTAGAATGCTCCTTAGTAGTCTGGATGGCCAGACTTTACCTCTCATTGTTGTTGTTGTTAAGTGCTGTCAAGTAGATTCTGACCCATAGTGACCCTGTAGAGGGTTTCCAAGAAGCATCTGATGAACTTGAACCACCAACCTTGCAGTTCAAATGACTTTGCAGTCTGATGCATTAGCTCACAGGTTCACACCAGGACTCATTACGTCTCAAACTTTGTACATAGTATCCAAAGGGAGCAGGCCCTGGAGAAAGACATCATGCTTAAAGTGGAGGGTTAGAGAAAAAAAAGAAGGAGACTCTGAAAGACATGGATTGGTATAGTTGCAGCAGCAATGTGCTCAAACATAGCAATTATTGTGAGACTGGTCTAGGTATGGGCAGTGTTTCTTTCTGCTGTACTTAAAGTTGCTATAAATCAGTTCCTACTTAATGACAAATAACAACAGAAACAATGAAACTAACTTTTCAGCAGTTGGAAAAATAAAAATGTGATGATGCATTAACTGAAGAAGCTACTAGCATCATTTCATAAAGTGCCTGGCACAAGTGAAGTAAGACTTAAAGAGTAGTATTCAGTAGTGTGTATGTCCACATTTTACTTATTGATTCATTTCTTAATGAATTTCCATTTTTTTGCAAAGCTAGGTAACAACCAGTGTGCCTCCAAGACTTTTTATAGTGATTCAATTTTAGGGTTAATTTATACCCAATCACACATCTCATACTGAAATGGGAAGATAGTTTAAGATGAGAGGCACTTGCTATGATTTTCCAGATGTCAGCTATTGTATCACAAGTAATGAATTCAAAGTAATTTACTTTTAAATATCTCATGATAAGGAATCAGTATAAAAGAAAAGTAATTCATGAATCAGAGACAGCATTTTTTATAGGATTTTATGTTGGGACCCAGGAATCAAAGGAAAGAATGAGAGGACAAATTGGTAGGGTAGGAAAGAAGGAAAGGGAAATAGGAGATTGTCATTTCTATGTTTTTCCATTTTCAACTTTTGTTATTCTTTTTCCAGATGGCACTATTTTCTTCAGGGCCTCTGTGACATCTTTGTTGCGGAGGCTGTAAATGAGGGGATTCAATACAGGCGTGATGATGGTGTAAAAAGCAGAAACCATCATGTCTTGTTCGCCAGTGTGGTAAGATCTGGGGATCATGTAGGTATATATGCTAGCTCCAAAAAATAGCATTACTACCATCATGTGAGAAGAGCAGGTGGCAAAGGCCTTTCTGCGACCTTCAGCTGAGTTCATACTGTGAATGAGGCGCAATATGAGAGCATATGAGCTAGATATAATCACAGTGGGAATGAGGAGCATGATGACACAACACAAGTACATGAATATCTCATAGTTGTAGACATTGGAGCAGGAGACCTTCAGCACGGCAGGGGCCTCACAGAAAAAGTTCATGATTTTCCTGAATTGACAAAAAGGTAAGCTCATGGTCATTGGGGTGAGCAAAAAACCCTCAAAAAGCCCCACAAACCAGTATCCTAACATGAAGAGACGGCAGACTCTCTGGTTCATGAGCAGTGGATAATGGAGAGGTCTGCAAATGGCAGCATATCGGTCATAGGCCATGGCAGTTAAGAGGAAAACTTCAGCTCCAGCAAGGGTTAAATAGAAGAACATCTGGATCCCACAACCTAAGGGTGAAATTGTATTATCTCCAGTAATTTGGTCCACAAGCATCTTTGGGACTGTCACACTTATGTACAAGAGGTCTATGAGAGAGAGCTGACTGATGAAGAAGTACATGGGGGTGTGGAGGCGAGGCTCCCTCTGGATCAGGAGGATGAGAAAGACATTTCCAGTTAAGGCCACCAAGAAAAAAAGAAACATTAAAATGTAGAGGAAGGCTGCATATTTTGTTTGATCAAAGAGTCCCATAAGGATGAAATAGTTGTCTGAAGTTTGATTCTCTGAAGTTTGCTTCTCTGAGTACATGGTTCAGCTTACAGTTTCACCTGGGAATAAACATAAATATCATTGGTTTTTAAATATCTCATATATATATACACTTTTTCTAACCTTTTCCAAGAAATGCCTTGGTTTTGAGATATTATTTCTGAAAGTGCAATTGAGATTTTATTGCATGATTACACGAAGTTTTAGGGAGCACATTTGGAGACAAAAGTCTAGGGTCAAATATCAAACAGACTTGGAAGGTGAATTTCTTAAGAACTGTATAAAGAAATAATGAATTTAAAAAAAAGTCTGTGTTTTTCATTCCTCTGTAATTGAGTATTAAGCTTTATTCATACGATGTTTAAAAGACTAAATAAAGCATGGCTTACTGAGTATATGACATAATACAAATGCTAAATTAAGTAATTAAATAAAGCTTCATTCTAATTTTGCACATGGAACATCATCAAAAGCCCAAAGTAATGAAAGTAATATCAGAAGTATTAGCATAGTACTTTTAATACTGCTAACGAACTAATATTATAAGAAGTTCTCTGGAAATGAAGAAGCTCAATGAAATCCCCTTAAACATATACTATCCATGATAGGTTTAATGGATTACTCCATTACAATCATTCACACATTTCAGTATTATCCAACTCTTCCTTAAATGTCTGAGTTCATTCAGCAGCAACATTAGACTTTTAGAAGCAGAAGGAGAGTTCAATCTCTTGTGGAGGGCATCTCACAGATGCAATGGGCAGGACAAGAAATCATCAGTATTTTGAAGGTTTCCTTCACAATCCTAAAATGCAAATCTCACAAATTTAATTTAATAGTTACATAACAATATTATTTAATAATACATGGACAATAATTTGAAACATTAAATACAAGTTATTTCAAAATATTATATAAATAAAAGCTACAGATGTCCTAAAAAAATATATATATTAATTTTTAACGGCTGATTTTTTTTTAATTTGGCTTGATTGATTAATTTTCCTTTTGTATTGGTTGCTTGGGCTGTTGTAACAAAATAAGAACACATTATGAAATTAGTAAAATAGTTTTATTGCCTTAAGAGTTCATGAGGCTAAATACACATGATCTCCTGGTCATGCTTTCTCTGAAGTGTCTAGGACAAGATCTTTTCTTCTGTCATCCAAGTTTTGGTAGATCCAGGAACTCCTTGAATTGTAGAAATATTTTCATATGGTTGCCTTCCTTTGTCTCTGTCTAGGGATTTCTTCTCTTTTATTAGGATATCACTCCAATTAAACTAGAACCACCTTAATATTTTATGACCTCTTGTTAATTTAATTGATTAAAATCCTCAAAGACAATGTATCAAAAGAGTTCATTGTTTCAGCTACCAGGGGTTAGAACTAAAAGAAATATTTTGCTGTAAGTACACAATCCATAAAAATCTATCTTTCTGTCCACATGAAATTCATGTCTCTCGCACGTACAAAATACATTAATCTATCTTGGTGTGGTACTGTAGGATAATCACTCAACCACAAGGTCAATTTGAACTGCAAGGTTGGCAGTTCAAATTCACCAGTTGCTCTTCATAAACCCTATACAGGGTTGCTATGAGTAGAAACTGGTTCAACTGTACTTAGCAACAACAACAACAATCCCAGTAAATGTAAACATTTTTAACCCATTCTAACATCAACTTGTAGTCTACAATCTCATTTTCTAAATCATCTAAATCAGTTAAGGGTTGTTGTTGTTGTTAAGTGCTGTTGAATAGATTCCAACACATATCAACCTTATGTAGGGTTTCTGAGTAGAAATTGGTGAGCTTAAACTGCCAACCTTGCAGTTTAAACGGCTTTGCGTCTGGTGCATTGACCCACAACGCCACAACAAGACTCCAGATTGGGTAAATTCCATCTGGAGCAAAACTGGCATATATTGTTATGCTATTGAAGTTTGCTTTCTTTCTTTCTCTTTTTCTTGCTATATCTTATTTTCTCTTTTTCTCTATCATTCCAATTCTCACACACATATAAAGTTACCTTCTTTAAAATGCAATGTGGTATTTGCATAGAATAGACATTCCTGTTTTTCAACAAATAAAGTAGAACCAAAATAATAGAGCACAAACCAGTTATGGTTTCTAAGCAAATCAGGGGAATTTTCACTAGATTTCACTAACTGTCTTTTGGACCCACATAGGAGGTAGTACTATTCTTTCTATCCATCTGGGCAGGGATTCAACCCTATAAGCTCCTGTGAGTGTTAATGCTGCCCCTGGCTTTTAGAAAAAGTCTTGCCACCTCTACCCTGAATGGTGGTACTTCTCCCATAAACCATAGTGAAAAAGGCAAAAATCTCACCTCGTACACCAATACAGTTATCCTGCTGGCTGTAGAATCATTCTCAGGGTCATCCTTTCCTTTCTTAAAGAATAAAATATAGTACTACTAAAGTAACACTATAAACCTATTTCCTGCCTGTATTTCAAGAATACCTTTCCTTCAATTAGTTTCTTCTCTGTCCCTTAAGAGTCTTTCTTTCTGGGGAATGGTTGATTGGAGGCATAGGTCACACTCCTAACCTCTATACCCTGATATTCTATCTAGAACATGCTTTATCAAATGAGGCATGGATGCTATCACCTATTTTCATCAATCTAAGAAAAAAATGTCAGCATTTAAATTCATGGGGCAAAGTAGGAAAGTTGGGCCCTTTGTTTTTTGTATTCGGGAATCCCAATCATTTGAGATTGTTAAATCCTTTTGTACTATTGAGCAAGCATAAAAACAGCATGATTGGAAAGCTAAGGAACAATTTTCAATTTTCTCTGTTATTCATATTCCCCAAACACATTCCTGGAGCTCCTTCTTTCTTTAAGAGCCTCTCATAATTCATCATTTATGTTTATTTTTTTTCCCAATTATTCTTGTCAGTTACATTGCACTTTCCACTGAAGGTACATACACTTAGAAATTTAACAGGATTGTCATTTAGGCGGTACAGCTATCAAAATTCAAACCCCATCTTTGTAATGAAGAAATTATGTATTTTTCAGTGGTTTCAATTTTCCAGTTTGTAAAGCTTATTTTCTTATTTGATACTGATTACGAAAACCATCACTCTTTGTAAAAGAACATTTGAGTGTAGGAAAAGTAGAATCATGCAGAACATAAACATCATATGAGAGCTTGAACCCAAAGTTGGTTCAGAACCTTTTTCTTCCCTTTATACATTCTATATGTGCACTCTATTGTCTTTACCATTCAGTGGCATGAAATGATAGCTTTTGGTAAGTTGGAGCATTATCAAGTACAATAACTATTGAGGGCAATATTTCATCAACAGTCCAAGTTCCTTCTTCACACCAAATAGAAAATTGTAAACCTTTGTTTTTATTTGTTGTTGTGGTCAAGTGCCATCGAGTCAGTTCAGATTCATAGTGACTGTGTATAGATTTTCTGAGAGTGATTGGTGAATTTGAATGACTGAACTAGAGGCTCAAACAGACCTTGTGGTTGACAGTGCTTAACTAATAGTGCTATACCAGGATTCCAAACCCAATGTATATTCACAAGGAATATGACTTTAAAAATCTTTTCTAATTGTGGATCTATGTTCATCATCATTGACTGAGAACTTTACAGAAGTCTGTAAAAAAAAGACGTGTTGTTGTTGCTGAGTGCCGTCGAGTCAGTTCTGACTCACAGCAACCCTGTTTAGGGTTTCTGAGGTGTGGCTGGTGAACCTGAACCATTAATCTTACGGTTCAAACCTACCTTATGGTCCAGTGCATTATCCCACAGCACTATACTAACCCTACAAAATAAATGAGAGCTGAACTCAAAAACAGAATCAATACAAATAGAGCAAATTAGTGAAACCCTTTTGCTGAATAATTCAGTATTAACTAATAGAATTTTACTTCTACTTAGCACTTCCAATGCAAGAAACATGCTTAGGGAGATTAAATAAGGATATATGCTATAGTACATTAAAGAAACAAAAGCAAACAAAAAAATTATATATCATGAAAGTAACAGAAATTTATATATTAATCTATAGGAAAATGCATACCTATAAAATTCATATATCAATTTGTTGAAAAAATACAATAAAGTTGAGAGAAAAAGACAGGAAACAAAATTATTGGTGTGATGTTGTTGTTGTTGTCAGGTGCCATTGAGTCGGAACCTACTCATAGTGACCCCATGCACAGCAGAACGAAACAATGTCTGATCCTGAGCCAACCTCACTACCGCTTTCACACTTGATGCCATCAATGATGCCACCTGGCTGATCCATCTTGTTGGGGGTCTTCCTCTTTTTCTCTGACCCTCCACCTTACCCAGCATGACATCCTTCTCCAGCAACTGTTCTCTCCGGACAATGTGTCCAAAGTAGGAGAGACGAAGCTTAGTCATCTTGACCTCCAAGGAGCAATCTGGTTGTACTTCTTCCAAAAGAGATCTATTGGTTCTTTTGGCAGTCCATGGCACTTTCAGTATTCTCCTCCAACACCACAACTCCAAGGCATCAATTCTTCTACTATCTTCCTTATTCACCGTCCAGCATTCGCATCCATATGAGGTTATTGAAAATACCATGGCTTGGGTCAGGAGCACCTTAGTCCTCAAGCTGACATCTCTGCTCTTCAGTACTTTAAAAAGTTCCTATGCAGCAGATTTGCCCAATGCAATACGTCGTCTGATCTCTTGACTGCTGCTTACGCGAGTGTTGACAGTTGATCCAAGAAGAATGAAGTCCTTGACAACTTCAATCTTTTCTCCATTGATAAGAATGCTGTTTATTGGTCCAGTGGTGAGGATTTTTGTTTTCTTAACATTGAGATGTAATCCATATTGAAGGCTGTGCTCTGTGATCTTCATAAGTATAAATTTCAAGTCCTCTTCACTCTCATCAAGCAAGGTTGTGTCATCAGCATATCGCAGGTTGTTAATGAGTCTTCCACCAATCCTGACACCACGTTTTCTTCATAGAACCCAGCTTTTTGTATTATTTGCTCATCATACAGATTGAATAAGTATGGT